TTGCAGCCATCATTGTTGTTTGGCGGGCCCGGGCTGGGGATTCGAACCCACCACCTTAGGTGTATGTGGCTGGCGCCTTAGCCGCTTGAGCTACAGGCGCCGAGCCAAAAGCTTATGTATTATAACATAACATGACATTGGAAAAGTTAAAAGAAATTCAAACAACTATTTCCTGAGTACAGCCTCCCAATCTTTGATTGCTTACATTTGTGTATTTAGCTTCTATTTCTCTTTTTTTCTTTTTCATACAGAGTTTGACTCTGTTGCCCAGGCTAGAGTGCTGTAGCATCAGTCCAGCTCACAGCAACCTCACACTCCTGGGTTCCTGGTGATCTTACTGTCTTAGCCTCCCGAGTAGCTGTGCGCCACTGCACTAGGGCTTATTGATCTTTTATTGATAGACATTTAGATTGTATTCAATATTTTCTTGTTACAAATATTGCTGCTGTGAGCAGCCTTATACATATGACATTTTGCACATGTGTGAGTTATCTGTAGGGAAAGTTTCTCAAAGAGAGATTTGTGGGTCACAGGGTAAATGCTCTGGCAATGTTGGTAGATATGGCCAAACATATGGTGTCCACCACAATACCTAGCTAGTTTTTCTATTTTTAGTAGATGCAGGGTCTAGCTCTTGCTCAGGCTGATCTCAAACTCCCAAGCTCAGGGGATCCATTTGCCTTAGGTGCCACCTTTTTTTTTCAAAGCAAGGCTGGGAATAGTTCTGATCATAGAATGCTTATAAATTCATAAATTGCTTTTTAATTTTATATGGTATCATAACATTTTTACTTATTACCATATTTATTGTGATGATTAAATTATACTATTAATGGTTTTTAATATTTCACATAGTATATATAATTTAATTAAACCTATTCTGATTTTTTTTTCTTCTATTTGGGTGTCTTCACATTTTCTAAAACTACCTTTTCTAGTCTCTCAGTCCTTAAATGTGGGGATCCAGAGAGGTCTCTGTTGTTTTACGTTCTAGAGTCCTAGTTTAGGTTTATGATATGGGGGAATGATATAGTGACAAAGTATATGGAATTTAGTCATTAGGATTCTAAAAGTTTACCCCAGGATCTCTGCCTCAGACCCAAGTCTGACCTTTGATAGAAAGAGACTCCTAGGGAAACTAGGAAATTCTAATATGCACAGTTACGAGGAAAAAGCACAAATCTGTAAGTAACTCAACAGCTTCATCTCCAGCTTCCTACACTGGTCCCATGCCAGGGCTTCCTACAGAAAAGTTATCTAATATATGAAAAGATCTTTCTCTCTTTTTCTCTCTCTCTCTCTCTTCCTTTCCTTTCCTTTTTTTTCTTTAAGACAAGGTTTCACTCTGTCCCCCATGCTAGAATGCAGTGGCATCATCTTAGCTCACTTCAACTTCAAACTCTTGGGCTACAGTGATCCTTCTGCCACAACCTTGGAAGAAGTTGGGACCACAGATTTTTGTCACTATGTCTGCTAAATTTTTTATTTTTAGTAGAGGTCTTGCAGGGTTGCTCAAACTGGTCTTGAATTCGTGACCTCAAGCAATCCTCCCACCTGAGCCTCCCTCCCAGTGTGCTTGGATTATAGGTGTAAGCCACCACATCTGACCAAAAAGGACTACTTTTTAACTCCCAAATCTAGAATACACATATCTATTCTGAAATTAATCATCTATACAAATACTTGTCTGGCATAATGGCTTATACTTGTCCACTGTGGAATTGAGCTTATGGCGAGTTTATGCAAATGTGTTTTATGTAAACAGAAAATGAATAAAATTATGGAATCTTAACCTTGAATGCTTAATTCCTTTTTTTTTTTTTTTTTTTTTTTTTTGTGGAGAGGGTGGCCCCAGATAGAGTGCAGTGGCATCATCAGAACTTACTGCAACCTCCAGTGCCTGGGCTCAAGCCATTCTTCTGCTTCTCAGCCCCTAGGAGTTGCTGGGACTAGAGGTGTGAGCCACCATACCCAGCTAGTTTTACTACTGAGCTATTTTTTTTCTATTTTTAGTAGAGAAGGAGTCTTGATCTTGCTCAGACTGATCTCAAACTCCTGACCTCAAGTGATCCTCCTGCTGTGTTCTCCCAGAGTGCTAGGATTACAGGAGTGAGCTTCTGCACCCAACCCAGTTCCTTTTAATTTTGACAAAACTATAAGCCAACCATTTTAAAGGAATGAGGATCTCCAGTATTTACAAGAACTCAGGAGAATTCTCTCATTTTCCACTTTAGCATCTGATAAATGTTTCTGTCAGAAAATCTTTTTTTTTTAAAAAAGTAAATTCTTCTTGCTGAAGTAAATTTTGTCCAATTTCCAATGGTGATAGACAATCACTTCTGTAATAGTAAACAGACAAAACTTTTCATTCTAACTGTTTACTTTTTAAACTTTTTTTCCCTCTTCTTATGTACCATTATGGGGTCTCAGGTTGAGGTTGGGCATTCTGAATAATTCTGCCTGATTTCAGCACCATAGTGACCATGTATAGACAGTACACAGATACATATCACACAATGCACAGTTATTTTCTCTCACATGTGCATAGAGATCTATAGCCTGAGTAATGTACTCTCTCCACAGTCTTCAGGCGGACTGTACCACATTTTCTTCCCTGCTCCTTCAGTCACTGTCGCATCCTTGCTTAGAGGGCTGCACACAAGTAGTGATGGAGGTGAATACTGTGAGGTATTCAGTTTGTGAACATTGTTATGCATTTCTGTGAAGTTCATCTGAAAGACTGAGTGGTCCATAAAAATGTGAACCAGGTCCTCTTGCTTTCTAGGCACCACCTATTCCACTTGTGCCAGCTGTCCTAGCTGCCCAGACCTCTGGATGAGATATGGTAACTACTGTTATTATTTCTCAGTGGAGAAGAAGGACTGGAATTCTAGTCAAGAATTCTGCTTAGCCAAAGATGCACATCTCTTTATAACTACAGACACCCAGGAAATGGTGAATACAAACATTTAAAAATGTTAAGTGTTTTTTGGGTGACTGCTATTCAAATGTATCATGCATCCTCTTTTGACGAGCAAAAGGAATTTGTGATTTTGGGGGAGACCATGTTCTTCCCTTTTCCTCTGCTCTCTCTGCTTTCTTCCCTCTTTTTCTCCTACTTCTTACCCTCATACTGCCTGACCTAATAAACCTCAGTTGCAGCAACCCAGAAGCTTTGTATGCTTGTATGTGTGTGTGTTGGAGGTAGGAGGACGATGAGTATTACAGAGAGGAATTAGACCTGAAATTAAAAGAAATATTAGGTGCAGAAACACACAGATCCAACAATAAGGAGGCACTAGATTCCTACATCTTCCCAAATCTAGAATAGACAGATCTGTATCATGGTCCTTGAGAGGGAGCAGAAGACAGAAATCCCTGGGACAAAGTGATCATGGCAAGGGCTTAAATGCATGCTTTTAAAATGTTGTCCCTTCATTCTTTGGAATCCAACAAGTTCTGGACTTGGAAACTATTTCTGGAAAGTTAAGATAGAAGGAAGGAAAGCTGTGTGTGTGATCTTAAACACCTGGCAGTACTCAGCTGGTGGGCTCCACTCCCACAGTCCTCTCAGATCCTTCTTTCCTGCCCAGCATTTCCTTGTAGGAGAGCTCTGTGAGTCCTAGAGCATCTAGGCAATAGAAGGAATTGATATCCTGAGGTAACCTTGTAGAAAAATCGATCAATTTGTCCAATTGTCAGCATAAGTAGGATAAGAAATCCTAATTTGGTTTTAAAACTAATTTAATACTGATCTTTATATTTTGATATTGTTTTCTGTTTTCTTTTTTGAGTAGAGTCAAGTCACGGAGATCAGTTTATTAATAATTTAAGGCTGAGTGAAGTGGCTTATGCATATAATCCTGGCACCTCAGGAGGCCGAGGCCAAGCATTGAAGATCAAGCCTGGGAAACATGGCAAGATCCTGTTTCTCCCCAAAATAAAAAGTTAGCTGGGCGTGGTGGCACATACCTATAAATCCTAGCTACTTGGGAGGCTGAGGTGGGATGATCACTTGAGTCCAGGTGTTGGAGATGGCATTGAGCCATGATCAAGCCACTGCACTCCAGCCTGGGAAACAGAATGAGACCCTGTCTCTTAAAATAAAATTCAACTAAAAGAAATTTAAAGTATATTGAATTTGGGAAATCAAAGAGATAATTACTCCAAAGCAATTAGGTAGAACATACAATTCCTAAATGTTATAGCTACCTATATATAGAAAAGATTAAAGTACTGTATATAGATTCTCATTTCCTGTTAAAGGAATACTTATTCCTTTGAAATTCTGGATAGAATCTCATTCCACACAGGTGACTTATTTTTCCTTTATGTCTTCTCTACATTAGATGGCAGAATGCATTAAGGCTACTCACTTGTTAGACAAGATCTTTGGTTTTACAGCTTCTGGTAATAACAGGCTTGCTTTCTGAACTTTGTTGCAGCAACTTCTATTCTCATTCTGACACAGCTGCTCTGAGGACTTGGGCTGACTAAAGTCAATAGCAGAAGTGAGCAACGAGCTTGAAACATTGCTGGGCAAAAGTGATAGGAGTTAGCCAGTCATAGCATAAGACACTGCCACAGGAGATTGTGCAGCAGCTACTGTTACACAGTGCCATAATGAGAGATGAGGGGAGAAAGAACTAAGAATATCTGGCAGTTGTGGATTTTTTTGTCTCTGAGGCACCTAGAAGAAGGGAGGGTACTGGGGATTTTGTCCTTCCTTTCCTTACATTTCCTGGGTCCTTTATGGAGTGTTGAGTAAACTCAAGAGAGTTACATTGGCTGCATTTTCAAAATGAGTGTATTTTCTTCTAAGGCCCCTTGGTTGAAGTCAGTCTGGAGAAGGTAAAGTATCTTTGCTAGATTTAGTAGCCCCACAGGTAAGTTTTACTTCTGACATTATTATGGAATCTTGCCTGGTTCTCTGGCTTAATTCTTTTTCTTGCTTCAGCTTTTGGCAGATTCTATAGAGCCAAATTGACTTATATCTAATCTGCTGAGCTTCTTGGACTAGTATTATTATTCTTGTTCTCAAAGCAAGTCTACAGTATGTGTGTTGTTTTGAGGTGTGTGTAATGTTTCAAGTATTACACTGGAGTCTGAGGTCTATTAAAAAAAAGAGATCTATGGGTCTATTAAACTGAAGTTTTTCTTACTAGCATTCCATGAGTGGAGAAAATACTACTAGGGAATTAGGTTTCTATATGTAGAGTCCGCAGGTCTATAAATATCCCTCGTATGCTGTTAAATAGTCATCTTTCAGTAAGATATATAAATGTAGTCCACCTCCTATCTTAGATCAGTTATGGCAAAGTGTACAAAAATAGAGAGGTTACCAAATGTCCCCAATTTTTTATGTATATTATTTTTAATCTCTATAGCAATTCTAAAAAGTGAATTCAGCATCTGTTTTGTTAAAGAATGAATAAAATTCAGAGGAATTTATGAACAAGTTCAAGGCTACAAATTTGGCAGAGTCAAATGTTAAATTGCATATCAATTTACTATCAAAGGCACTTATAGAAATATTATATTTGACAACTTCTATCCATCTGGTGTGTGTTGAGAACAAGATAACTTTTCCTATTAATTGTTTTCTGGAGTCTTTTCTGTATGTGTTTAAAAAATTATTCTAATTTGAAATATGTAATGTATGTATGGCCATTGAGATCAAAATAAAATAATGAGATGCTTACTTATGATATCTTTTTCTATTCTGGACTTAAAGATTATTCTTGATAGAGAAAATATTAATAAAAACAGAATTAAAATGGAATCACTCTGTTTTCTATTAACGTCTAATCTTGGTTTTCTATTAACATCTAATATTTGCCCTTTGTTCTTCTTGCTCTTTGAATATATCTTTAGATCTTTATATTCAAAATCTTGCCTTTTTTTTTTTTAAACATTGCATATTATTTATTTATTTTTTTGCAGTTTTTGGCCAGGGCTGGGTTTGAACCTGCCACCTCCGGCATATGGGGCCAGTGCCCTACTCCTTTGAGCCACAGGTGCCACCGCTTTTTTTTTTTTTTGAGACCAGAGTCTCCCTGTGTTGCCCTGGGTAGAGTGCTGTGGCATCACAGCTCACAGCAACCTCAAACTCTTGGGCTTAAGCGATTCTCTTTCTTTAGCCTCCCAAGTAGCTGGGACTACAGGTGTCTGCCACAGTGTTCAGTAATTTTTTGGTTGCAGTTGTCATTATTGTTTAGCAGGCCTGGGCTGGGCTCGAACCCACCAGCTTTGGTATATATGGCTGGCGCCCTACTCACTGAGCTACAGGCACCAAGCCCAGATTTTTTATTTTTCTTGCCCAATTCTTCACACTTTCTTTCTGATCCCAGACAGCTTGAAGCCAGTCTGAGGCCTTGAATATTTCCAGGCACTGATAAAAGTATCTAGGTTGTTGCCCAAAACATTGAAAGAAACTGGCCTCATTTCTGAGCCAAATTTCTTAGACCTTCATATAAACTCCATACCTTGAGCCCCTCACTGTGAACACATCTAGGTAGGACACTGCTTTTCTCTTGCTGTAAATCACAAGGATTGCTGCAGCCTTTTGTACGTTCCCCAAATAAATGCTTTGGCCTTATCACCCTGGAATTTCTTTGGAATCCATCACAGGACAGTCTTGGGCACTGTTTTGCAGAAACTCCTTGGCTTTCATGGTGACTCCAACTTCTGGTTTAGCAGGACAAAATAGAGACATGCTGTTTACGAATACATTTATCCTGTGTTTCCAGGCTTTTTGGAAACCCTGCATTTTAAGTTCTGCTTTTATCTTATAGCACTATTTCGTTCCTGTTTTTTCTGAGCTTTAAATGATTCCAGTTAATTTTTTTTATTGTAAAAAAAAGTATTTTATTATTTTTAAAAATTCTGTATTACTCTATTGTTTAAATATTTCCATAGTCTTAGATAAAATTCTTCTTATTTCCAGTTGTCATGAGCTATGAGCAGATTCATGAGTCATTTTTTGTGGAGTCATATTTTTAGGTTATATTCTCTAAAATTAAGTTAGCTAATTAAAAGTTATGATTTAATATTTTTGTTATATTGTTTTTCTTTATGGATTGAAATAACTTAGATACATTTTATAAACTGTATTCATTTTGGAGGTTTAAGGAGTATGTTTTGTGCCTTAATAATAACTTTCTAATTTCAATTTAAAAATCTTACCTACAAAAGTGTGTGTGTGTGTGTGTGTGTGTGTGTGTGTGTAGAGCATAACTATTGACCTAAAAAACAAAGAAAAAGAAAAAAAAAATGTACCTGATTTCATTTGTTTGGGTTTTGTTTTCATTTTGTTTTTAGGTTTTGTGTTTTTTTTCCTCACTAAAATACAAGTAAACAGGATGGGCGCCGTGGCTCACGACTATAATCCTAGCACTGTGGGAGGCCCAGGTGGAAGGATTGCTTGAGCTCTGGAGTTTAGACCAGCTTGAGCGAGAGTGAGCACCTTCATCTACTAAAAATAGAAAAAAAATAAGCCGGGCATAGTGGCGCATGCCTGTAGTCCCAGCTGCTTGGGAGGCTGAGCCAAGAGGATTGCTTGAACCCAGGAGTTTGAGGTTGCTGTGAGGTATGATAATGCCATGGCACCTTACCCGAGGAGACAGACTGACTCTCTGTCTCAGAAAAAAAGAAAAACAACTATAAGTAAACATTATAAACTCTAAAGTAACATAACACCTACCAGTGGGCTCTGTCACACCCTCTCTAGGTGACGAGAGTTCTTAGTTAATGCCCTAAGAAGCTGTACCTTCATTTATTTTTCTCTGGTGATTCACACATGCACACATTACCCATGAATACATAGAAAGCTAATTGCACTGTGGTTCTGAAGGCCTTTTCTAAGTGGGAAGGTTTTTGTTTTTATTTAGTTTTTTATAACCACTAGACCACCATGGATAAATGGGAAGGTTTTCAAGTAAAAGTGCTATAATAAACATTTTTAACATCTAGCCTCCCCAGTGAGAAGTAGCAAAAAGAACTGACTGGTCAAGGGACTTAGCATTGTATGGGTCTTGAGAGTAGTGAGTGGTCACAAGATCGGGGCTTGTAAGTGGCATCACCTAACCTCAGCTCTTCCAACTCTGGTTGAAGTTTTTGAGCAAACCTTCATTCATTTTTATGCTCATTAGCTGTCTTTCTTCCTCTAGAAGAAAAAAAGAAATGAACTATTTTTCTTATAATGCCAGTGGAGAAATGAAGAAACATTTATTTCTTTATTTTTTAAGTTAAATTTTAAGTATATATATTTACATATATCTTAATTTACAATTTTTCATTCAAGTATACTCAAATTGTGTGTGTACTTTGAATGCAGTAGCATTTTATTTTTGAATCTTTTAGATCATGACTATCATTAGCACATAAATTTTCACAGAAAATATATATTTTATATATGTATATACACACTTTTTTTTTTTTTTTTTGAGACAGAGCCTCAAGATGTCCCCTGGGTAGAGTGCTATGGCATCACAGCTCACAGCAACCTCCAACTCCTGGGCTCAAGCGAGTCTCCTGCCTCAGCATCCCAAGTAGCTGGGACCACAGGCACCCACCACAACGCCTGGCTATTTTTTGGTCGCAGCCATTATTGTTGTTTGGCGGGCCCGAGCTGGATTCGAACCCGCCACCTTAGGTGTATGTGGCTGGCACCTTAGCCACTTGAGCCACAGGCGCCAAGCCTACATACTTTTCTTGATACAGAGTCTCACTTGGTTACCCGCCATAGAGTACCATGTTGTTATAGCTCACAGCAACTTCAGACTGTTGGGCTCAAGTGATCCTCTTGCCTCAGCCTCCTGAGTAGCTGGGATTATAGGAGCCTACCACAACACCCAGTTATTTTTTTAGAAATAACTTCTCTTGCTCAGGCTGGTCTCAAACTTGTAAGCTTGGGCAATCTAACCACGTTGGCCTCTCAGAGGGCTGGGATTACAGGCAGGAGCCACCGTGCCTATCTGAGTTCTTGCTGTTAGGATTCTTACATTAAATTATTTTTATAATTAAAGATATAATTAGATTAATTTATTTAAGGAAAATTTTTTTGATTTAATTCTATTACTTTTAAAAAATGAACAAATACTAATTGTACATATACAGACATATATTTAAAGGAAAGGAATTACTAGTATGTTAAAGAGATATCTGCCCTCCTATATTTATTGCAGCATGCTTCACAATAGCCAAGATATGGAATCAACCTAAGTGTCCACCAATGGGTGAATGTGGAAAGAAAATGTGGTAGATATACACAATGGAATACAATTTAGCCATAAAAAATGCAGTCCTGTCAGTAGAGGCAACATGGATGAGCCTGGAGGACACTGTGTTAAGTGAAATAAGCCAAGCACAGAAAGATAAATACGGCATGCTCTTGCTTGTATATGGAAGCTAAAAAAGTTGATCATATAGTAGACAGTAGAATAATGGTTACCAGAGGCTGGGGAGGTTCTGGGAGGGGGATAGAGAGAGGTTGCTTAAGGGATACAAAATAACAGGTAGATAGGATGAATAAGTTCTAGTATTCTAAGTCACTGTAGGGTGACTGCAATTAACACCAATTTATTGTGTATTTTCAAAGAGCTAGAAGAGAGGATTTTGAATGTTTTGAACACGAAGAAATGATAAGTGTTTGAAGTGATGGATATGCTAAATATTCTGATCTGATTATTGCAAATGGTGTAAATGTTACATGTGCTTACATTTCAGTCAGAAGAGATAGACAACAAAAAAGTAAATTTTTACAACAAAAAAGTAAATTTTTTTTTTTTTTTTGAGACAGAGCCTCAAGCTGATCCCCTGGGTAGAGTGCTGTGGCATCACAGCTCACAGCAACCTCCAACTCCTGGGCTCAAGCGAGTCTCCTGCCTCAGCCTCCCAAGTAGCTGGGACCACAGGCGCCTGCTACAATGCCTGGCTATTTTTTTTGGTTGCAACCATCATTGTTGTTTGTCAGGCCTGGGCTGGATTCAAACCCGCAACCTTAGGTATATGTGGCTGGCGCCTTAGCCACTTGAGCTACAGGTGCCGAACCAACAAAAAAGTAAATTAATGTGGTGTTATATGTTTTGAAGAAAATGAAAGAGTATGATGTAATAGTGGATGTGAGCAGTACTTTTAATTGGTCAATTAAGGGAGGCCTCTCTGGGGAGGCAGCAGTGGAGTTGAGCCCTCAACCTAATGATGGCCATGTAAAAATCTAGGGGAAAGATATTCAAGTTAGATGGAAAAGCTAGACAAAGACCCAAAGCAAGAACAACTTTAGCATGTAAAGGGAACAGAAAGAAGGCCCCTGTGGCTGGAACCTAGTGAGTGAGTAAATGATTGGCATGGGGGAGGTTGTGTGAGACCTCATACATGTAGTAATAATCTCAGATTTTTTTTTTCCTATGCGAAAGGTGAAACCATTGGAGACATTAAACAGGGTTCCACAGAGTGACTTGCTTATTATAACAGGGGGAGGAGAGCCTAATGTAATGCAGAAGGTTAGCACTGAGAAAGAAAACATGAATGATTATTTGTTAAGGAGACTTGGGTAAGATATTTCACCCATGTGGACTTGTTTTCTCTTTTATAAGGATAAGGATAATATTTGCCTACCTTCTAAGTTTGTCAAGAATTTTATAACTGGAAAGAATAATAGAGAATATCAGTAAGCTAAATATTCATATTACCAAACCTCCCAAATGGGTATAGCCCGGTTATTGACACAATAAGAATTGCCAAGTAAGAAAAGAATTTTGATGTGAAAGACATGTGTCAGGAGAATGGGAGGAATAGTTTCAAATCCATCTCCTCAACCTACTAAGGGACAGGGCTCTTAGAGTGGGTTGTGGAGTGCAAGTCATATTATGTGGGGGTTGAAGTCATAGTGTCTCCAGGTGTTGGATTCAAGAAACAGTAATTGATGATGGTTGGTGAGTGCTGTGGAGAGGCTAGTTAAGTCTGAGAGAGCAAAAAATAACTTCTTCTTTTCTTTGGTTTTTCCACATCTTTCTTACTTCTCATCATCTTCAATATCTCTTCTTAGAGCTGGCTCAAAGATTTCCTCAATAACGGCTTTTATTGGATTGGCTTGAGAAACAATTCTGTGTGGATGTGGGAAGATGGATCAGTTCTAAACTGCTCAAGGTAAGGGGTTTCAAAGGAGTGCCTAGAAAGAGAGAGGGAGTGAGAGAGAGAAGGAAAGAAAAATTGTGTCATTTGAGGCATAGACGAGTAATAGCAGATGGAGAGAGGAAAGAGTGAAAAAGAGAGGAAAGAGGGGGAAGGGAAGGAGGTGAAAAGTAGGTAAGGGCAAAAATGAAAAAAAGGATGGTATTTTAAGAAGAGGTTAATGAATAGTTTTTATTCATCTGCTGTTTTGGGAGACCGTTCCTCAGAGCCTGAGTAGGGAGAAAGAATTTGCTTAGTTTTTAGTCCTTCATCCATTTCAACCCCTTTATTGTGTATGCACCTTGAAACAATGGACTTTTCTGATTTCTTACAGGATTGTTTCTAATAGCTTTGTACAGACTTGTGGTACCATCAGCAAAAATGGCTTCCAAGCCTCTAGCTGTGAAGCTTCTTTACGGTGGATCTGTAAGAAGATCAGACTTTGATGGTGGACATGTGGTCCTGACCCTTGGATCTGTAATGTATTCCTAAAAAGAGGGATACTCTTTTTAGAGTATCCCTGGGCACTGGGCATTGGGACATCCATGAGTGTGTATTTAGCAAATGCTGAACTTCCTCAGATATGGCATTGGAATTAAGATTAACGCAGCCTCCTAGAGACTGATGCTTTACTAGTGGATTCCCTTTGAAAATATTTGGATATTATATTAACCATTTAAAGACCAAATCTGGGCAAATTTGTGAAATGAAGTTTGGTTTAATTATTTCTCAGTCTGCTAACTAATGCTGCCTCTCTCATCCCTACCTCACCATTCCTATCAAAAATGTGTTTTTTCCATGTTATATTCTGAGCTAATCTGATGAAATCTGTACCAATATGTGCTACCATTGTTGTACTTAGAGGGGTTTCATGTGTACTGGTGATTATCATGTTACTTCTTCCTGAGGATATATTTTCGTGCTAATAGTGACCCTTTACAGATTAATCTTGATTCTAAAGAACAATGCCAATAGCAAGAATATAAATTGTGAGACATGGGTGAGGGCAGGGAAGTGCTTCCTGCTTCTCACCCCTTCACACTTCTTACGTGAAGAACTGGTTGATTGCGTTTGTTTTTTTCTGAGTATGCGTAAGTGTGAATAAACAAATATGCAACTAGGTATTTTCCTTGCTGTGAATGTGTGATTTGCGTAGTAATTTCATAATAGTGGGCAATCTGAGGAGGCATTTTCACAGAGAAAAGTTTGCAGAAGCAGTGTATGTGGTTGGGTATTATTTTGTCTCAAAAGTGAGAAAAAATTTATTATTTCTCCTTGGTAGAGTTTGGGCATAGATAAGAAGAGAAGGACAAAGATGTAAGAGGCAGTAATGAAGGAGACCATAATTCTTAGTGTTGATGGCACTGGATCATAATCTGTCATTTTTTTTTCTTTCCTTGCTTTTT